CATAGTCACATCTTTTGTTTCTTTGTCCCTTGGAGACACCTTAACCTTTTCTATAATGTCAGAAACAAACGATTATGACTTTAAATGGGGAATAACCAGCTGGGGAAAATGAAGTTGTTCAAAGACTACACATCTTGAGGCTGCATACAAATACACACAAATATGGCAGCACAGGTCACCGATCTGGATGGTCACGATCACATCTTCCTACAGTCTCACTGGGGCCATGCTGAATTTTCCTTAACATCTTGCTTTGTCTGGCTCTCGATGTGTTAACATTGCTCTTTTTTCTGGCAGCATTTTCTTGAGAGTCTGCTTGGCTGTATTTAGACTTTAGATTCAGTGAAGATTCTGCTATGTCTATTATCTTGGGGGTAAGCAAATCATATCCTTTCTTTCTTCAGCTGGGAGGGTATCAGCTACCTCTACAGAGCCCTCCCAGCTCCCAAGTGTCAGAGGTGAGATCTGGAATCAAGAGTACCTATCTTAGTGTTTTAACCCCCTTCCCTGTAGGGCTACCCAGGAGAGTTAAAAGCAGCACAGATAAGATAAAGCACTTACATTTGACAACAGCAAAGGGCACGAGGCAAGTATAGCAGGCCCTCAAGAAACACTAAGTTGGAGATGCTATGCCATTTCTTCACTGAAATCTCCCATTAACAGATGAGACTGAAATCTGTCTGACTTCATACACAGCCAGTCGTCCTGTGAGCTCAGATCTGTTCCTTGCCATGTGCCGAGCTACATGACAAGATCATCCCACAAACCCCACACGCTCTGCCCTATGGGGAGACCCTTTTCAATAATTCAGTCAGCAGGAGCCAAGTATCTAAGGCAGAAAGTTTAAGAAACAAAATAAAGCTACAGAGAAGACTTTCCATTTCTTTTCTCTGACTTAAATTTTCTACTTGGAAAATGGACATAATTTCTGTTTTTCTTTGACACTGACTAATTTTCACTAAAATTAGTGGACAGCACTTTCTTTTATTTATAAGGCAGTCTGGCATCTTAAAATCCAAGAGGGGTGGCCAAAAGTTTTAAATGACTGATGTTCTATGGCTGTGCTTCATGAAGCATTAGTGGGGCTGATAAAGCATCCATGGTAAGAAAAGTTAAAATTCTATTTTCTCTTTTAAGAAGTCCAAAACAGCAAGGAACTTGAAAGATTATTTTTCTTTGGCACTGTGGCACATTCTACATGCAGGCAGGCAGTAGAGCTTAGAAATGAAGAGCCTGGGCCCTCCCCGAAGTCAGCCGGATCTTACCTTAGCTCCCCACAAGTTTGGGGAAGTTACTTAATGTAGTACACTCAACCACAGTAGTTACGTTTCCTCACTTGTAAAATGGGTAGAATGATACCACGTACCTCAGAGGGCTGCTGCAGGATAGATTAAAAGGTGGGCTGCTTTAAACTGCAGAGCAGACTGTCAGTGAGCCCCCTTTTTTATGTGCTGCTTAGGCAAATGACAATTTGTTTGCCTTTGCTGAGTCAGGTAAGGAAGAATTTAGGAAGAGATGCCCCCAAAGACATCACCCTGGGACTGTTTTCTAAGAAAACATATGCGCATAATCTTGATCATTCTAATAATTACCCTCGGATATACTGACTCAGAGAAGGACTTGCTATGCTATTAGAATCTCTCATTTTCTAATACCTGGATCTCGGCTTTGCATTTCTATTTTTCAATCCTTACGAACGAGGTCAGAAATCAAGGCAATTTGACATAACATATGGAAGCAAGGTTAGTTAACTAGGCTGAAGTTTCAGACGGGCAAGATATTTTTTAGGTGGCTGGAGAAAAAAAATAGTAATACAGGTTTCTGTTGGGAGGGGATTATCAAGAGGGTTTAATAGAAAAAATCACAATGTACATTGGGATGTACATTCAAATGAAATCAGTTTGAAAAACTAGTCGAGACCAAGTGACCCGCATCTGGTCACAGTCCATGGCGTGCCTGAAGTGGCAATCCAGGACTTCTCACTGAGTTCAGAGACACAGGTACCATTCCATGATCTGCTGGTTGTCAGACGGGTGGTTTGTGCATCTGACCACCTTTGGAAACAGGGAGGCTTTCATCAGGAACACTATACCTCCTGGGACTTTCATGAGTATTGTCACAGAATCCCAGGCCTTCACTCATCCATCCTCCATTCACTGAACAAAGATTCACTGAGTGCCTACTATGTGCCAGATATTGTGGTGGATGCTAAGATATTAGAATTCTGTAACTTTCAAGGATAAGTTAGCAATAAATAATTCAGTGCTTACTACACAATAAAATGTCAAGATAAATTAAAGACTAGAGTTAAATTCTGATATTATTATTTGTGAGTAAGCATGTGTGGGGGTATGTGCTTAATGCTTAATTTAATAAGCAATGCAAAGGCATGGAGCATGGAGCTGAAGCTCTGCAAAGCACACCTCCACCACTGCTATTTATCTAATGAATACTCCTGGGCACTCTTTAAATTGAAAGATGGTTCATTAGATTTGTGCATCTGCCCTTCTCAGCAATCTGTTGTGTTTCTGATGAAGGCAGGAAAAAACAAGAACATATTTTCGTGTATGTTATGAGTCACTCAGCTTCCAATGATTACAAAGCCATAAAAAGCTCAGGATGCCTAATTTCAGGAAAACAATTTGTCTAAATCATTCCCTTTCCATTCCTATCAAGTTCTCTTCTCACTCACCTTAGCGATCTCAAGTACTAGCCCTTAAAAAAAAAGATAACCAATCCCCTAATACATTATCTTCAAGCTATAAAAATAAGTAAATTTTTAAGATATCAAAAAATGGGTCTCTTCAAAAATGGTTCGAAAACCACCTTTGTCTTGATGTTTTCTCCACTTGTTCTAATCAAGGCAATCACTACCCGCTCTGGGTTCCTCTCCTGCGTTATACATTTATCTACTGCAATCTGCTCGAAGAGCTGGTTAAATTGTAGTATCTGCTGTGTTCATGTAAACAAGCTCTTCGAAAGCAAAGAAAACATCGTAACAACAAAAAACTCCGTCCCTGTCTCAGCACCTGCTACGTAAGAGATGTTGATAAAAGTGCTAAACTGACGAGATCAAAGGTAGGTATCCTAAAGGGGAACTTAAACTATGAAAACATAAACTCATGTATTTTCCACCCCCCAGCAAACATTCACGCAAGGCCTCCTAGGTACCGACACTGTGAAAGGCACATGAGTGGTGACGAGACACAAACATGGCTATGAGTGTGCCCCTGCTCTCAGAGAACTCACTCACAACCAGGGCAGGCAGACACTCCCTGCTCGTCAGAGGCCAAGTGTGACAATCCTATAGAGATGCTCTCTGAAGGGGACATCTATTTTCAGACAGTGCTCTGAAGAGAAATAGCCATATTCTTGGGAGGGGATTTGGAAAGGTCCTTTCACTTATCTTATGAAGAAAGTTGATACACAAAAAGAATTTTTAACATTCTATTTAGTGGATTCTTTACAGAAATCATAGTCTTGGGCAAAGAAATGGCCAAGATATCCAGGTTCATCATTCACTACCTCCAAGAGCGGCCTTTGTTTGCCTGGTAAAACTGCGAGTGGAGAGAGCTAACTGACACCTTTAGCCTTGGTCCCTGTCCTCCATTCCCTACAGAATTTGGCAGATATGTCCTAAAATGCAGGACTGGAATTTAGCATTTAGTATTTATTCTGGAATTTATTTCTAGTGGGCTGGAAATTCAAGTGGTCAAGATAGTGGGGAAGATGTGTAAGACTAAAACGCAGTCTTGTTAAATCGACCTAGGAAAAACACGGGTTAAAGATGTTTGTACAAGATGTTGGCTGATTCACACAAAGATCTGGCTTTTAGCGCTGCTGCAGGGCTCGTCTCTGCTGAGAAACAGAGCAAGAGGATGAAACGACCCTTGTCTTAAAGGTGCTGAACAAGATACACTAATAAATAACTAAAATACAGTGATAGAAGTGCCACAGAGGTAGCAATAAGCTACCCCGGCAGCCCATAAGAGACAGTGATCAACTCTGCCTCAAGTATGAGAAAACAATCATGCTTAATCATTTCTGATAGCAAAAGAGGAGTTCTCATGTGTGATTCACTGGATACTTCTCAAATTAGCTGATTTACAGATGATAAAGAGAAAAATCATTTATTCAACAAACATTCAATTGCCTACCTTGTACAAGAAATGGCTGGGTTGCTATTATTGAACTGTATACATTTACATTTAAATATGTATATCCTAATATCCCCGTATATTTGTTATTGGTCAATTAAAATGTAAAAATCCAGTTTCCAGAGATTCTGCTGCTCCAAAAGTGTGGCATATGCCTAGTCCCTGAAAGACGCAGCAGCAAAACGTTCTGCTTCCTCCCCAGTGGACAAGTCGAAGACAACTGTGATACAACGCTACGCTCACTGATGCCGGATCACTTTAATGTTGCCATGACAAAGAAAACTGCAAAGCCCCAAGCAGCTTTGAAAAAAAATGGAAAAATGCCTACACAGATCTCAGTGGTGTCAGATTCTCTAATGCTCTGTTCAGATGCATCCTCAAGCCTCAAAGGACTGACGCTTTTCGTCAGTTTTTAGCATTTTGTGTGGAATAAATGTTTTCTTCTACATTTATTGGTAAAAACGACTGGCTGGCTTTTGAGAACCTAACTTCCTGCCAGACCCTGTCATGGTTCAATACTGCTAAAACCCTATACATGGATTTTTGTTTATTCTGCGGACACATGGAAAAACACTCATCCATAACATCTGGACTGTCTTCAAGAAGCCTCCACGGATGCTGTGAGCAGCCGTTCATTTCTACATAGAAGAAATGAGACAAGATTCTGCTTCCGGTTTTATGAGGCGCATCTACCAATAAGGGTAGCAAACGAAGTTTATCACACTTTAAAATTCTTTTCAGAAGCATCTATTGTACAATTACCCTCTCCACTCAGAGCCCACACCGTACAATGTTATCCTACCTGCTGAGCTGGATTTATCTGAGCTTCTGATCAATACCTACCAGCAAGGTGAGGCTGTGTTCCGGCAGCATCCCGTACTGTTGAACGAGCTTCTCCCGGGTCACGCTGGGGAGCTCAGGGAGCTGCTCTCGAATCTGGTCGATATTGATCACTTGCTGTGGGTCTGCGTTGGCAGGCAGAGACGCTGAGTCGTAGAGTACCAGAGGCGGAAGGTTGGGTTCAGGAATAAACCTGGCCAGAAAGGAGACAGGGCCTGACTCTGAAGTATTTAGTTTAATAAGAAAAATACCCTATTATCAATATGAAAGTTTCTGTGTTTAGAGGCCATATTACTTGCAAATATTTTCTAATGTCTTACAATATCGATTCTCTGTTTTCCAGGAGCTAGCCTTTGCACAAGTGTAAACTATAGCTTGAAACTCCAAAGCTGCCACTCTGTGCTTATGAACTAGTGATGGATGAAAAAGGCACAACATAGGGCTCATGACACACTATGATGCATAATTGTGGATAAAGTATGTATTTCTAAAGATATGGGCTGGAAAAAGTAGGACCAAATGAGAACAATTTACTTATCAGGGAGGAAGATGACTTCCCCCATTTTTAAGTTCCACTATTTTTAGCAGAATTTGTGTAATAAATTGAAAGTCAAATAAGAAAACATTCTTTCTTGAGAAGAAGAAATGAATGGATTTTGCCTAAATAAAATGTAGAAGCTAGTTGGGGAGGGAGAAAGGGATGAAAAAGCAGAGTACAGATTTTTAGAGCAGTGAAATTATTCTGTATGACACTGTAATGGTGGATATATGTCATTATATATTTATCAGAGCCCACAGAATGTATGGCATAAACAGTGAACCCTAATGTAAACTACAAACTTTAGTTAATAATAAGGTGTCAACTTCCGTTAATCGTAACAAAAGTACCACGCTATCCACTAATGTCAGATGTTATTACGGGAAATCAAGGGTCGCAGGGGGAGTACATGTTATATACCAAGGAACTCTCTGTAATTCCCTCTCAATTCTGCTGGAAGCCTAAAGCTGCAATAAAAAAAATAAAGTCGGTTAATTTTCGCCACTGCAAATAATCTTATTAACTCATTTCCTGTTTAGAAAAAAAAGTGCAGCTTGCTGTTAGCATTAATTTAATTTTACATAAACATACTCTTTGAGGCAGAAGCAAATTGACTGGTTTTCAATGTGAAAATAAAATATAAAAACTTCTTGGAGTTACTTTTAAACAGAACTTGTCTCTAATCTTAATGTAACAGAAATGCACACATAAATCAGAATCATCAAATGAATCTTCGGCTAGCAACTATTTGAGAACAATGTTAACATCACACATAGGAATGCTATGTTTTTCAAGATTCGACATTGTTAAGTGATCAAGAATTACTATATTTTGTAAATGGAAATACCACTACTAAAAACAGAATGGTATAAATAGAATGATGCCACTTGTTTCCAAAGACTATTGCTATACAATAGTGACGCCAAAATAATAACAAAAGTGAGATATTTTGTGGCAAATTTAGGGGGTAGGGTTAGGATTGTGATCCGCGAGTTATCTGTGTAAACGTAGCAGCGCAAGTGCCACCGGCGAGTATTCTGGGCACAGACGGGAAATGGGTTAAACAAAGATGTCCTGCTCTCCGTTTTATTCCAGCATCACTCGTTTTTCTCTCCTTATATTTGTTAGAGGCTTATGTAGAAGCAGGACAATGCAGAACAAACAGTGGCTCCGAGGTAATAGATTAGAAGTGTGAGCAACCCACCACCTCGACGCTAAATCTATGCTACGAATCAGTCTGACTTCTGAAGGTAAGAGGGATCAAAGCGGGGCTCCCCGAATCCCATCTACTAACCTGAGGGATAGAGCTGAAGACACCAACCAAACTAAAAGCCTCCTCTATGCTTAGTGAGAAAGCAGCACAAACAGAGTCAACACTGGAGGACAAAGATGTTCTTGGGAAGAACGGACTGTACCTAGAAGATCACAATTAAAAAAATCTTGACTCTGACAGACACCATGAGAGGAATCCTTGAGGTGAAGTTCACGCTAAGGGTTTACGAGTTGCTGCTTTCCCACATCACGATGCTACACTTGTTCCTCATTGACAGCAACAGCTACACTTACATCATCTCGCACTTCACAAAGGAGAGATGGGCTCATCTCAACAACTTTAACACATTAAAATTTCAATCTTGGCAATCTGCTAAATTCCATGGGGAAAAAAATGAAAGGATGCAGTTTCCTTAAGCCTGTCCTTATCATTTGCTTTATTTCTGGATCTCATATTAAGTCTAACTTGTTTATCAATTAATAGCATGACTTGAGGCATGAAGAGAAATGCCATGAACACACACATTTCTTCTCAAGAAACTTCATTTACTGAATTTGTAACTGAATGTAAGAATAGGAACAGGATAGGCTCCATCCTCAAATGCCATCCTCTTAGCTCAATTACAACAACTGTCACACAGAGGAGTGAACAAGTGTCTTCCAACAGTTGAATCCTGTCTAACAAGAGGCTACCGAATCAAGAACATATTTTTTCTCTCAGTCTAGATTTTCCACCATGCAGCAATAACAAAAAGTGGTTTCTAAAAACTATCCGGGATCATCAGGTTGATCTGTAAGTAGATTTGAAATATGCCCCAACCCCAAATATATAATGCTATTTTGACAAGAGAAGTAATCACCTGTAGTCTTGTTTTCCTTCTTTGTCTCTCATTGGCACGGTGCACCTATGAAAGTTAAATAAGAGCATTAAACGAACATCGCATGTAGCACTGGCTAGCACACATGCAGAGAGGAGATTCCTTACCAATAAGAGACACGAGCAAATGCAAGCTCATCAGTGTTCCTTGGGAGACACTTTGTGACTACATTAAAAAATATTTAAAAAATAAATGTTCAGAATGCTAATTAAAAAAAAAGAAATTGTTTCAATGATTCCAGCTTTTAACTAGCTTTAACTCTAGGCTTTTGAGCTTTGTTCAGTCTTCTGCTAAGAGTAAAAAATCTTTAAAACTCTTAGAAAATTAGAGTCAAAGTTACCTAAACAAGAAAAAGCACCTCCACAACCAGCTCTAAACTTCCTTCTGCCTCTAGCTTAAACTGGTAGAGCTTAAATCTGATGGAATTTAAGGAAGTAAAAGTTCTTGCCGCAAAGCAGGTAATCTGGAAGCAAGAGAAGGGCCAGGACCTAAGAGTAAGCACTATGTTTAAGTCTGGTTCAGTTTAAATCTCTTACCAGCCCTACAGGGTATATTATATCCTTGTAGGGGACAGCATTTTCCAAATTTTACTAACAAGGAAACAGAAGTACAGAGAAGCTAAGTACCTTCTTCAAGGTCACATGGCTGGTCTGTGGTGAACTCAGCCTGGAACCTCACCCAGCTATACTCAAGATGCAAACTCACCCCAGCTTGTAATCGAATGAGCGAGTTTCATTCAGAATTTCACCTCCATTCTCAAGTTCATTGATTTGCCTCTGAATTTCATAGTCTAAGAGAAAAATATAGTAGTTTAGTATATTTTTGATTCATCTAGTCAAGCAATAATCAGAAATGTTTTTCAATCTTTAAGTAAAAAGAATAATCAAGACAGTTGTTTAAAATAATTCTTTCCTATATAGTACTCCCTCCTTATCCGCGGTTCCACTGTCTGGTTTATCTGTATTCAACCACAGTCTGAAAATTTTAAATTTCCTCAAAGACGTTGTCTGCTCCTGACATTCAACTACTGCCATTATCATGGCTCGATGACCCAGGATCACTAGAAGCAGTTGATTCTCCTTCTGACAGTATCCTCAGAAGGTCAACAGTAGCCTAATACTACATCGCCATGCCTATGTCATTCACTTCACTTCATCTCAACACTTAGCGATTTTATTATCGCATGTCATCTCAAGAACGAGAACGGTAAACACAGTATAATACGATATTTTGTGTGAGAGACATTTTCATAACTTTTATTACAGTATATTATAATTATTCTATTATTAGTTATTATTGTTAATCTCTTTCTGTACCTAATTTCTAAAATGAACTTTATCACAGGTATGTGTGTATAGGAAAAAACATATTATCTATAGGGTTCTGTGGTTTCAGGCATCCATCCACAGGGGTCTTGAAACATATACCCCATGGATAAGGGGGGACTACTGTACACTGTATTTTCTTCTTGCTGCCATCATAGAATAATAATAATGATGCTGTAAAGGGTCTTTTAGGAAGCACTATTCCCTCCTTTTTTGAGAAAACTTGGGTTCAGAGAGATTAAGTGACCTAGTAAGATTATACAACTTGGCAGAAAGGCTGGGCCCACTACCAAGGCTGAGTGACTCGAGATCTAGGATTGCTGCCTACCAGGAGTTCTTATCCTGGGATCAATGACTGGGCTCCAAGTGGTTTTGGTATCTCCTGAAATTATATACAAGATGTGGGTGTGTACAGATGCACATTTTTTGGATAGAGGGTCCAGAATTTTGATTATATTTTCAAAAGGATCTATGACCCCAACATGATTAAGAACCACTGCTTTCTGAAACATTCCCTCCTCATCAAACAAGGCAGGCTGTGGTAATCAAAACAGCCATGACTGCTAAGCTTCTTTATGGAAACAGTTCTGGCCTGCCCCCAACTCCCCGCCCTGCCACACTACCTTCCCTTGCCTGAATCCAAACTCTTATCTCTGCTGCTAAGCAGCAGCAACATCAAAGATGTCAGTTTTTGCTCAACTCTCCCACTGTGATGCTCTCTGATTGACATGAGATGATGGCTAAAAGACCCAAAGGAGGTAGAAAAATGGGGCGGGGCGGGGGGTCAGGAACTAAAGACTTGGTGAATTAAGCCCATAACAGTAAAGTGTTGGTTCTTCCAGTCTGAACAGACCACAGGGAGAATTCTGTCTCAGACTGCTGTTCTGAAGGGTACGTCAGGACAACAGAAGGTTAGGGACAGTCAAAAAAACTGGCAAGGGTCTCCTTTATCACTCATTATAGATTTATCTACCTAAAATATGGCTGTCTTTTTTTTTTTTAAGGTCACTGTCACCATCTCTTAGAATGAGTCCCAGTACTTACTACCCACAAGGTGAAGTAGAACTTTCTTCCATTCGTTGCAAGCTTTCCCTTCACAAACTGGGATTATAAAGGGTTTTCTCTCACCCATACCTTTCATGGCTTCAGAAGCATGTATTGTGTCTCCTTTTAGAGATGGAAGTACGTCTTCATGTGGGAAGTCCCACTCCTTCTTCCTCCATAAGTTTCCCCTTGACCATTTTAATGCTCTTTTTTTCTGAAAATTTGCAGACTCGGAGTGCCTTCATTGAGGCTGGTTGACATTTCAGGTTAAAATAATAAGGTTTTATACAAGACTAGACAATCTTTTCTGTATTTTAATTCTTTTCTTGACAAGACCCAAGACTCTACTCAACATTTGGGCTAGAGCAATGCATTCAGCTGTCTTGTTCTCTGTGCATCCTTGAGAGGGTGCGCTTTAAATCACCCACCCTTCTTTTTTCCTCTCAAGATATCTTTGGTTTTAAAAAATATTTTTATTCTTCTGAAATGTCTTCCCCTCAGATTCATAGTCATCCACATTCTATGGGACTGCCCCAGATGTTTATCTTGCTCAATCGTTCTATTTTAATTATTAGTATACACTTGTTGACAGTGAAATACCCACAGCACGTCTTGCTAAAATAATATCAAGATTTGGTTACATAGGCACATGCAATCTATTAGTAAAAACTAGAAAAATACATTGACCAATAAGATCAAATTATGGCCAATAGCTAATGAATATATAAAACTTTACAAAGTTTTATATATTCAAAGTTTTATATATTCATTAGCTATTGGCCATAATTTCGGACTGGGCAGAAAGCATGTGATAAATAAAAAATCAGAGCTGTACTATATTGCAGACTCCCTATAAAGAGGTGGAGTCTATTTCTCCTCCCTTTGAATCTGCTTTTAATTCAATCTGCTTTGAACAGAATGTGTTGGAACAAACATTGTGTAACTTCTAGAGCTGAGGACTCCAGAGGCCTTGAGGCTTCTGCCTTCATCCTCCTGGAATCTCTCACTGCCATAGAAGGCCCAGGCTAGGCAAGTGAATGAACAAAGACCATGTGGATAGACAAGGCTAGCAGACATCCAGCACCGAGGCCCCAACACATGAGTGAGGACATCTTATACCCTCTGTTTCAGCTGAGCTGCCAGCTTCCACAGCCACATGAATGAGCTGAGGCAGGACCAGTAGAAAAACCACCCGATCCACAGAATTGTGAAACCTGAAATGGTTATTGTACAAGTAGCTAAGGTTTGGGGTGGCTTGTTACACAGCAATAGATAACTGACACAAAGAGGTACATTATGAGTAACAGCTGACATTTACCTATGGCTTTGGCCAAGAACCTGGCGCTGTTGAGATTCTTTACTTCAGTCCGAACGCCCAAAGGCTCCCCAGGGTGATGCACAGATATATTAGCATCCACTCTCAACTGGCCCTCTGGAAGGAGAGAAAAAAGACAATTCTTTAGAAATCCTGAGACAACATGGTCTTTTTAAGGAGAATGAGTGTCCAGGCAAGTGACATCTAACTCTACTTGCTGTTTAGTTATAGCAACTTAACTTTAGAGATGGTACAGTTAGTTCTGAAGTAGACGGCTGCTACTTCTGTCCACTTAAGAGAATTCCAGTCCTGAGGCATCCAAAGTGTATAGGGGTGTATATGTGTATTTGTGTGTATGTTCTGTGCACATGCAGAAGAGAGGAGAAATTCTGGATAGACCAGCTGAAGAAATCTCATTTCACTTGTGTCAAATAAGAAAAACAACACTGTTAAAAAGAGATTCACTCTGCAGTTTTATTCTGAAGTTTTTTCAAAGAGCTGGAGCTGGGGTGGCAGGAAGGCCTCAGAAATGACTACCCGACAACTGACCCTACACTGCTGTCCAGTGGAACGTGGATTTCCAACAGCAGTTCTGAAAGATTTATAAGAGAATCCTTGAGAATCTACAGCTCAAGGGCAAGAGCCAGAAACCTGGGCATTTATTTCCCTTCCTCTAGGTACTGTGATGATCTCTTCCTGCCACAAACAGGACTCTGAACCCTTCCCGACTACTGAGGATGTGCTGCAGCAGACAGAGCTGTTATGAAGGGGAGAGTCTGTCCCCATCCGGGGAGGCCGCTTCAGATTGGGAGTGATAACCCCTAAGGAAGCAGGTGGTTTAGACTAACTTGGAGAGGACTGAGAGGCTCCCGGGGCGGGGGGAGGGGGGAACCCCAAGACACATAGAGAGATGAAGGTAAGAAATACTCAGATTTTACACTCTACAAAGTATAGCTCAAATTCTCTGTTCTCCAATCTCATTTACAATATTTAAAACAGTACAGGATGAGAAGATAAAATGCTGGAATTTTATTTTCCTAAGCAGATTTTTAAATTAAAAAATCTGCCAAACCTAATGTTCTGATCGGCTGAATAAAGACATTAATTTCCCCAGATTCCACAGCAAAAGCATATTTAAATAATAAAGTGACATAAGTTAATTCCATGACAAGAAAGGAGACCCTCGGAACTGGTTTCTGTCTTTCCCCCAGTGCTGTGCTGTGGGGCTCAATGTCCAAGCTTGAGACCAATGGCTGGCCGCTGCTTGCCCTGCTTGCCACTAATTCCCTCAGGAAAAGGGCTCACCTCACCCGCTCTGGGACTGCAACCCCACCCGTGACAGCCAGGGAGAAGGTGCCCTTCAGTTCGGAAATTACCCTATGTCTCTAGTGCTGACATCTTGACACTTTTGAGGAACCCTGTAGCCCCTTTCTTGACAATCTGTGCTTACACACATCTCAAATCCCAGATACTCCTGACATCCTCAGATGTTTGATCTAGGGACTCTAAGTCATCATCTGCTTCTCCGTTTTCTTTGTTTCTTATATCCAAACTGAAAAGCAGATCCTACCAGTTCTTCCCTCCAAATATACCCCGTACCTGTCAGTTCCTCTCCATTTCCACTGCTGCCACCCTTGCCCGAGGACTTGGAACTCCAGGCCCAGGCTACAGAACCGCATCCTGACCTTTGCCACAGCAGCCCCTCCCTGTCCTGCCACCCACGATGCTGCTCCGACTTTCACCCTGCCACAATGTGGTTTTCGTCGCTATCGTCGCAGTGCCTGCTCACGTGGAGAGCCAGCTCCTAGTGGATCGTCTCGTCTCCCCTGCTTGATGTTCAAGGGCCCTCATCTGGTCTTGGTTGACACGACCCACATTTTCTCACTAAGCACTCCATGAGAAAGCTCCTCTATACGCTCTCCATACCCTCTCTTCATCAGTGTTACTGTCCCTAAACCAACCTCTGCTTATCCTTCCTTCAAGGTCCCACCTTCTCTCTCCTAAAAACCCTCATCGAAAGGCTAGTCTCCACTAGTGGCACCTCTGAACTATTAGAATATACATAATCCATAGCACAGAATCTAGCATGTCTACAGTCTATTTTGAATTAATCTTATCTTTAAGACCAGAATGGAAAGCCCTTGAGGATTGGGCCCAGATTTTAAATCGCACACCTCTTGCCTTCCCAAGGACATGTTGGTCATCTCCTCTCTCCCATATTAGTCATTAATCTCTTTTTAGCATTAATTCTGATATAAACAAACGCGATAGTATTTCTCATTTAAAAAACTAAACCAAAAATCTACTCCGTTGAACCCAATTCTTTCTAGCAGTAATCCAGCTATTGTTCCTCTGCTTCCCTTTTCAGCAAATCCTCTCAAACCATGTTGTTTGCTGCACATGTTGTCTTCATGATCTCACCTCCCATTTACTCCTAAACTTGCTTTATCTTGGCTTCTGTCCTCACCTCTCAAAAAATGCCTCGTCAAAGTCACCAACAACCTCCAGTTGCCAACACCAACAGAGACTGGACACAGTCTACCTTCACCTATGGGACACTTCAGCAGCATGTGACACACGAACTAATCCTTTCCTTCTTACCTCCCTCTCTCAGCTTCTATGACCTTACACTCTTCTGGTTTCCTTCCTACCTCCCTGGACACGCTACTTCCGTTTCATTTGCTGGCACTTTCTTTCCCATCCAAACTCAAGACTGTCTTCTTTACTTACTCTCTCTCTGCATGGTTTAGATGCCATGTATGTGTTGATAACGCCTTAATTTTTTTTTCTTGACTAGACCTTTTTCATTTGCTGGCACTTTCTTTCCCATCCAAACTCGAGACTGTCTTCTTTACTTACTCTCTCTGCACGGTTTAGATGCCATGTATGTGTTGATAACTCCTTAATTTTTTTTTCTTGACTAGACCTCTACTCTGAGCTCCACACTGACCTCCAATGTCTACCTGACACCTCTGCTTGGAGGTCTCCAAGGTATCCCAATGGCTTCAAGTAAATCCTGATTTACATCCTTACAAAGCCATTTTTGTCTTCATCTTCCTAATTTCGGTAAAGAGCAACCACTACCAAGCTCCTCAAGCTTCTTTGAAGGCATCCTCGATTCCTTCCTGCCCCCGACCTCCCCGCCAGCCCGTTAACAAATCCTGTTATTTCTTGAATCTACCCATCTTGAGATCTCCGTCTTCACTGACACCAGCCCTGTCTACAACAGTGTCAGTTTCCATCTGAAGTACTGCAGAAGCTTCATAACTGGTCTCCTTGCTTCACCTCTCACCCATTTGAAATCTACTTTGAACGAAGCAGCCAGAGTGGTTTTCTAAAACATTACACAGACTATGTTATTCCCTTGCTCAAAAGCCCTTCAATGACTTCCCACTGCACTTGGAATGAAACCCCACTGCTTACCATCATCAGTAACCTATCCCATGCCTACCTTTTCAGTCCTACCTGATGCCACATTCCCCTGCTCATTAGGCTTTCCCTGTGGTGGCCTTCTGTTACCTTTGTTAACTCCCAGCATATTCTACGCTTTCACCTATCTCAGACTTTGCCTTATCGGTTCCCTAGAATGCTTAACCCCTAGGGCTACTATGCTGGCTCCTCCGGGCTATTCTTCAGGTCTCAAATAAATGTCACCTCCTCTGAGAGGCCTTCACTTTCCAATGTTATTCTTTTATGTGGCACCCTATTTCCTAATGCACTTATCACTTCAACTGTTTTTGTTTTATTTGTTACTGTATTTTTCTCCCTCATGAACATAAGCTCTATGGAGCAGGAACGATGTTTTTTCATTGCTATATTCAGAATCCAGATCTGGGTCTGGCACGTGGTCATTGGTCAATAAATTAATGAGCCAAAACTCGTGTTATTTTCCTGAGCAATGAGTAAGCAGACTGGTTACTGCTTCACAGTAAGTTCCCGAGATGTTCTAAAGTTCTGTCTGCACTGGACTAATTAATGGTGGGAATCATCGGAAAGGCCCGTTCAGCTCAAAGGAAAATGTCCAAAGTAGGTATGCTGCGTGAGCCCCACTCAACTGAGTCTCAATGCTCAGAGACAACTTGGCTGGAACTCAGGGAACCCTGAATGAGACCATACTTGCTTTTAAAAACAAAACCATCTTTCATAATTTCGGATTCTAATTTGGAAAAGGAATAAAAGCATGAATTTCAGTCTCTCCCAAAGAAGACCATACTACACAATGTCTGAGAGGAATTATTCAGTACCTTGAGGTGTCGAGAGTTCTCTAGCCTGGATTCAAATACAGTATCGAACACTAACAAAAGACATTCTATCCAGTGAAGACAAAATACCTTTTAAACAAATTAAGTTAAATTGCCTCTAGCACACAAAAGCCTCGCCAAGTCTGGTTTTCTTCAATGCATTCTGCAACACTGAGGGAGGGCCTTCATCCACACGTCATGAGAATGTTATCAAGCTCAATTTCTACCCTCTAGGAGTAGAAATTTATAACAGCAAAGCGAAAGAACTATACCACTGAGCAGAGTGGTATGGTGTGGTTATATATTTTTTTTTCTAAAACACATTCACACATCAGAAAGATAACATCAGGACAGAAAACTGTTTCTGTAAACAGCAGGAGCCTGAGGATTTAGTGAGAAGGTCTGTTAAGCTATCTCATTCTGATCACTGAATATTCTCCAGAACTTAAATAACAAGGTTTGGCAAAAAGTGACCAAATTTTTTATCAAACATATTTCACAAAGCATATTCATCCAACATGAGCAGCAATTCTATAAAAGTAATACTACTTATTATTGTTAAAAATCCCTAAGATTTACTGAGCACAGGCTACTTGCCAGGACCTGTGATAAGTTTTATATATATTATCATATATTCCCTAGAATATTGCTTTATTGGCAAATCCACTTAGACATCCCTCAGGCATTTCAAACTTGACATATCCAAAATGGAAACCTAGGTTTTCTCCCACAAAGCCACTCCTCTCCCGTCTTCTGTCTCAGTAAACAGGGCACCATCCAGCTGTCCCAACTCCACTGAAGACTTACATGACTTCTTTTCCTCCTTGGTTTCTTTTTTCTTTTCCCTTTCCATACACAACTATTTGGGGACTTGATTTGTAAGTATGAAAAGGGAGGCTCAGAGAAGTCAAACACTTTGCCCAGGTTCCTACAGCCGGAAGTGGCAGGACAGGATTCCAAGCCAGGCACGGGACCTCAGTGCCCTCAGCACCCACGTGCCACCAAACTCTCTCTCAAAGTTGTTATCTATGGCGGTTATGACACTCTTGTGGCCGCCAGTAGGAAGCAATGTGACCCCGTGCTTAAAGGGCTCCCGGAGTCAGACACACCTGGGCTCAAATCCCAGGTCAGTCACTTCTTACGGGCTTTAGGCAAATAACCTCCCTAAACCTCAGTTTCCCCCACCTGTACATCAGGCACGATAAACCTCTCTCTCAAGAATGTCGTAAAGTTTACATGAGACGATAAATTAATTTAAAAAAATGCTTTGTCAACCGATGGGCATATGCTAAATGTTCAGACTGGCAGATATTACTATCATTGAAACATTCTGTATGTCTACATCGATATGTGTTCAGCTCAACGGAATGCTTTAAGGTTCCCCACAGAGGCACATGTTCCGAGAAGGAAATGGCTCTCGGAACCCAGGCTGAGAGGTCTACGCTCATCAGCAAAACTACCACCAGGAAGTCACTGAACAGCAGCTCCAAGGAATTAAGAGGCATTCCAAAAGCACTATGGGGGTCCACTGTTCTTCGTGGCATGGCCCTCAGTCCCCAGGCTGGTCTCCAGTGCCTACGCAGTGGTCTTATGGTGATGGGACAGAAGAATGAGCAAAGGGGTCAGGGCTGATAAAATGCTTACGGCACCAAAAAAAAAAAAAAAAAAAAAGCGGGCCCCCGGCAGATCACAGGCGCGCCT